TAATAACATGAAAGGTACTGAATAACCAAATTGATTTCAATAAAATGAAAAATACTGAATAACCAAATTAATTTCAATGCACTTTTCATTATACACTTCGGTGGATTTGTGTATAGTCTAAGCACACTGAAGATTGTCTTTCTAAGAAATTACTCTGTATTTGAAGAGCTCCAAATCAATCAACCCCTTTAAATAATGGGCACTCTCTTTTATATGGGATTATGAGAGTACCACATATATGTTACTTTGTTGGATATTAAAATATGGGTGCACGTGATCAAATATTTAATCTCTTCCATTAGATTAATACAATTGAAATTGCGCATTGTCAGATTTTTCACACATGATTTGTTGGTAAAGATGGACCGTCCCATCAACGACCACCCTTATTTTGGCAGTGTCATTTTTTGGTTGTTGATACAAATAATGTCACAACAAATAATTACGAGTATATAACACGTACTAGAAAATAGCCATATATATAGGCATTAAGGCATATAGCACATTAGCACATAGGTCCCTTAATCTACTTTGTGTGGAATCTTTGTAAATTTGCAAAATCACGTTGCTTGATAGGGCCCAAATGTTACTTGACCTACTTCCATGGAGATTGAGGCTCTTCAATAATCAATTCAATGCACAAGTACATTTCAATTTGGAAATTTTACTTTCACTTTCACTTTCTTTAATTTTCCCACTCCAAACTTGTCTTTTTATTACCTTTACTTTTCTCAATATCAAGTTATCATCATCAAAGTAATAAATTATAGAAATGAAGACTATCACAATAATCTTCTCAAGTGAGAGTGAGGAATAGCTCAAGTGGTTAGAGCTTCCCTCCCGGTTCCAAGAGATCATGGGATTGATTCTCACCCCCGCCCTTGTGACTCTCTAAGCACCAAAAAAAAAACAATAATCTTCTCAAGTTCATTCAATTTTATTAAAACCTTTTTTTCGTCATATATGATATTTTATTATGTATGACTTTTATATGGGTCGGTGTGGCGGGCTGGCTGGCCTTCATGAGGATTAATTCATTAGTATTATAGGAGTTATTGTTCAGTATTCCAAGGTTACTTCTACAGTGTTACAGGGAAAACTTATTCAGATTTATAGAGGTTACTTTATTGATTTACAACTAGTCATATGGTGTGATTAGCCTCATGGAAAAAAAAAAATTATTATTAATCTCTTTTCAAAATTTATTTATTTTAAAAATTTGCTTTACAGTATCACATCAAAGCCAATTTTTTTTCATTTTTTAAAGTATAAGTATAAATTAACAATAACTTATTGCATAAAATTTTACAAGAAAATAAGTGATGATTGAATTATGAGTCACTACCGCAATTTTCAGTTGCCTATAATTAAACAAGTACTCCCTATAACGTGTTTGATTGGCATTTCCTCTCAAGAAACCATCTCCAACACAACATATATACATAGTACTTTCCACTTTAAGCCAACTTCCCTCTTATACCTAGCGTCCTAGCCCGCAATAATAATGTTCTTTTGAATAAAATTATTACGTAAAATAACAATAACATAATTTTGAGATGGAGAGAGTAATACATAATACCTATAATATTAGCTGGTAATACTTTGGGAATGATGATATCCGATACCCTAATCAAAATTTGTTTACAATTTGATAAACATAGTGCACCAGAAGAAATCGTCATCAAAATAATTGAAAATTTGGACCATTTTAGAGCGTAGGGCTCGGGTGCCCACTGACAAAGGGGGAACCCAGTAATTGTCCATCAGAATATTTGCTAAAGGTCTAGTCTTGGTCAGTTACACAGTAATACTTTCGCCGTTTTATAATAATTACTCCGTAACACTAGTAGAATTTTAACTCTATGATTTTGTATTGCATCTGTATCAATTTAAGGGTATTATTGGCGATGTCTCAAATAGTTAGTTTGTACTTTTTTTGTTCTATTTAACTTGGCTTGTTTTGACTTTTATACCATTCATCGCTTCTCTTTTGATCATATTTTGTGAATTATAGGTAAGAAAAACATATACATGTAAGATATTGTAATTATTGTCTCAATAATTACTATCATAACATGCAACTTTTACAATTTTTACTAATGCAAAATTAAAGTATTAATGGGTAAAGTTCTGCAGTGGCAAGCATGATAAATGAAACAGGTTAAGTAAAAAAGAACATAGGAAATACTTGTTTAGTTTGATAATTATGTTCGGCTGTTTCATTTTAGTGTTTTGATAATCATCTTGAAAAATTCATAATTGAAAAAAGATATTCAACTATTGACAATTTAACTTTAAAACAAATACATAGTATATTATTTTTCATAAAACCAAAAAACAATAAGAGTTTGTCAAAGTTCAAAATTAAAGTGACTAAATTATTTATGATCATTATATTATGGGAACAAATAGTGTAACTAAATACTACGAGTAATAATCTCATATACATAGTATTAAAGTGAACTACAATATAATTTTTGTTGGTTAAAAAGGCACTATAAATGGATAGCTTAGATGATACGAGTACGACTTGTAACTTAATACAATACATTTATACATGTTGATCTCAAGTTCAAATCTAAGCATTTTTAATTGTCAAATTTGATACATGTTGTGAAGGTGACATGACATGATTATAGCGATAAAAAATGTATCATGTTTATATTAGTGTCATGTCATATTTATATGAATAGTGTAAAAATCAAACTGATTCTTTTAAATATATATAACACACGTTAAGGTACAAGATGAACCCTTTTTCTATGATTCTATCACAGAAATGAGAGCTAAGTGAGGAATCCAACCCCCAACAACGGGAGATGGAAGGAGAAACTAATCACTATCCTTTTATTCAAACACAAAGGAATTGAAGTTGTAATTTAAGTAGTGATTTGAATCTTCTAAGTTATACTAGTAACAGTAAAGAACGAAATTTAAGTCAAATAGGTTGGCAAATAATAATTTAAACTAGAAAATCACAACAAAGTTTCTCCTACTACCTATATCTTCGGGAAAAAAAAATAATAAAGCATTTACATTTCCCTCAACATTTTTTTTTTCATGAATGTTCTTTGAATATTCTCTTCTCTTCTCCTTTCCTCTTTTTTCTTTTTTTTTTTTTTCTTTTTTTTTTTTTTGTGGGTGTTGTTTTTGACAACAGTGTTCTTTGAATATTCATGTTTAGAAATAAAAACCAATTCTGTCTACAGTTTACTTAATGTTTATAATTTTCTAAGGCAGTGTTTAGTGTTTACTGTTTAGTCCTTGTATAGACGTCAAAAGTAAATCGATGAAAAAAATGAGTAAATACTCCGTAATAAACATTTTCTAGAATGATTTTTTTTTTCCTTTAGATTTTTTAGACGGAGAGATATTATGTGGGTCATTGTGGATATCTGTGATTGAATAATTTTTTTAAAAATACTTCATAGCAACATACTCTATTATATATTTTATGAGAGTGAAAGATAGCTCAAATGGTTAAAGCTTCTCTCCCAATTTTAAGAGATTTTGGGATCGAGTCTCATCATCGCCCTATTAGCCCTTGAGATAAGGAATTTCGATGGACCAACTACTTAGTCAAGTCTAATATGGGATACTCATTTAGACGGATTAATATTAATTAGCTTCTGTCTAGGCTATACAAAAGAAATTGCACATGAAATTTACAAAAAGGATGGACCACTGCCACACTTGTTTTCTTACTTCTAAAAACGTGAGTACTCTCTGTTTCTTACGGAATACTAAAATTTTACTTAAAAATAACACTTTAGTTCGGTTGTATTTATTAATGAACAAATCTGATCATTAATACATACAATACTTATTAGGTTATTACTTAGCATATGTTTAGCAGTTTAGCCTATACAAAAGAAATTGCACATGAAGTATTTACGGTGTGTTTGGATTGAAGGAAATGGAGGGAAAGGAAGGGAAGAGAAATGGAGAGATGAATTATCTTTCATTTGGATAGCAAATGAGGAAGGGAGGGAATTGGAGGGAAGAGAAATGAAATGATTAAATTGTAGGAAATTGATCCCTTCAACAATGGAGAGATTTAAAAGGAAAACTCACCATTCTTCCCTCCCCTCCTCTTCTCCTCCCTCCACTTCTTTTCCTTCCCCTTTCTTTACCAAACAAACTATTAGTGAATAATGAGCAAAATTTACACTTCGATTTCTAAAAGTTGATAATTTAATTTAAATTTATACATAGAGATAAATCTAACAAAAGATACTAGTGTATGGCCTTGTCATTTAAGGCCTTTTTGGTTCAACTTATTATTATTTGTTTAAAATAAATAAGTTCATATCTATTTTATGCTCTACCATAGTTTAGAAATTTTTTTCATGGTTGTAATGGAAAGTGAAAAATCAGAAAATCTTTCCCCAAACTAGTCAAATTGCTTTCCTTCAAAAAAACTAGTCAAAATTGCTCATTTGGAGTTGAACTATGTGGAAAAGGACTGTACAATTCCTTACTGACTTACTCGTGTATAACGAAAATGTCTGGCAATTACTTCGTATAACACAATGGCAAAAGTCCAAAACAATAGAGTGAAGTCTAACAACCACAACTTTATGCATGATTTCTTATTGGAAACAACTTTATGATGCATTACTATGTAACTTCTTTTTGCAATCTTTTTTCCATCATACTACCTCCGTTTTTTTAGTTGACATGTTTTGATTTTAACACTATTTATATTCCCCTTTAATCATGTTTTTTGCTTTATACATAATGAAAAATATAGTCATTTGATATTTTGTTAGATTCGTCACAATAAATATTTTAAATATATCAAATTTTCATAATTTTTGGTTATGTGTAACAAAAGATATTTGTGGTTGAATTTGTGCATTGATAAACGTGATTAAAGAAACAAGTCAACTAAAAAGAAACGGAGGAAGTACTATTATTATTTTGGAAAACCATTATTATATTAATATATTTATTTAAAAGTGCATTATTATATTACTTATATATACCCCTTACCATAATTGAGTTATGCCAAGCCAAATCCAACTTTCAATTCCAAGCCACAAGCCAAAACATATTACCTCAACCACCAACACAACCCAATTCACCAATGGAAGCACCAACTTGGGCCGCCTACGCGGCCGCATGGCTATTGGCCATAGCCTTAGTACTCCTTACCAACCACCTTCGCCGTCGTAAACTTAACCTACCACCAGGCCCAAACCCATGGCCCATCATAGGGAACTTCAACCTTATTGGGGCCCTCCCCCATCGTTCCATCCATGAGCTCTCTAAAAAATATGGGCCCATAATAAGGCTCAAATTTGGGTCAGTTCCGGTGGTAGTGGGCTCATCAATTGAAATGGCTAAACTTATTCTTAAAACTCATGATGTAATTTTTGCCGGGAGGCCTAAAACCTCGGCAGGAAAGTACACAACTTATAACTATTCCGATATAACATGGTCTCAATATGGTCCATATTGGCGCCAAGCGCGAAAAATGTGCTTGATGGAGCTTTTTAGCGTAAAAAGGCTCGAATCCTTCGAGTACATACGTGTAGAAGAGCTTAATTTAGTGTTAAATGACATATTTAACACTAACAACAAGCCAACGTTGTTAAAAGATCACCTTTCAACATTGAGCTTAAATGTGATTAGTAAGATGGTGTTAGGGAAAAAATACTTAGAAAGAAATAATAAAGAGAAAATGTTCATTACGCCCGAGGAATTCAAGATGATGCTTGATGAATTGTTCTTACTAAATGGAGTGTTGAACCTTGGGGATTGGATACCTTGTTTGAAGTACATTGATGTACAAGGTTATGTGAAGAGAATGAAGGTTTTGGGTATGAAATTTGATATGTTTATGGAGCATGTATTAGATGAACATAATGCTAGAAGAGAAAATGAGAAGGAAAATTGGGTGCCTAAAGATATGGTGGATGTTTTGTTACAACTTGCTGATGATCCTACTCTTGAAGTTAAGCTTGAGAGAGTTGGAGTCAAGGCATTCAGCCAGGTACGTCTTAATCTTAACTTTTCTTTTTTATTATTAGACAAAAGTACACCTGTGCTAATGAACGGAATATATTTTTACTTTATTTTGACATGGAAAGAGAGATATTATTTGATGTTGCACATGTAATGATGTGATAATGGAAACGATAAAGAACGTTATTGTACTCCGTGATAGAGTGACAGCAACTTTTTTGGTGGGGGGCTTACGGGTTAAGATGGAGCCAAATTTGTATTATTGGTCATGTAATTATGAGGGCTCTCTCGCGGTAGTTACTACTTCGTATATGACTATATATGTTACCATACACTTGATAAGGAGTAATATGTTTATTTTTACTTGCAACACTTTTAATTATACAATACAAGTTTATATACTACATCCGTTTCATATTATTTGAAACGATTTGACATAAAGTAGAGAGGAAAAATGTTTAATCGTTGCAAATAATATGAAACGGGGGTAGTACTAGCTTAACACATATAAAAACAAATGTATGTAACAATAATGTTTATTGACTTTAAATTGGTTAATCAATTAGTTTAAGTCTATATACTTATTGAATTTCAGGATCTAATTGCTGGAGGTACAGAGAGTTCAGCGGTAACAGTAGAGTGGGCAATTTCAGAACTCTTGAAAAAACCCGAAGTTATTGCCAAGGCAACAGAAGAACTCGACCGTGTGATAGGAAAAGAAAGATGGGTTAAAGAGAAAGATGTACCAAACTTACCCTACATTCGTGCAATAGCAAAAGAAACAATGAGGTTACACCCAGTGGCACCAATGCTCGTCCCTCGAATGGCAAGGGAGCATGTGAAAATCAAAGGCTACGATATTCCCAAGGGTTGTGTAGTGTTTGTGAATACTTTCACCATACAAAGAGACCCCGAAGTGTATGAAAATCCAGATGAATTTTTGCCCGAAAGATTCCTTGGAAATAATATAGATGTCAAAGGTCGCGATTTTGAGTTGTTGCCTTTTGGATCAGGAAGAAGGATGTGCCCTGGGTATAGCCTTGGCCTTAAGGTTATTGAGACGAGTTTGGCTAATCTTCTTCATGGATTTATTTGGAAATTGCCTAGTAACATGAAGCCTGAAGATTTGGATATGAAAGAAATTTATGGTCTCTCAAATCCTAAGAAGATCCCTCTTGTTGCATGCGCTGAACCTCGACTTCCTCATCATATGTATCATATGTGAACATTATGATTTCCTTGAACCTAAAAAATGATCGTTACTTAACTAGTGAGCTAAGGATTTTGATTTATTTGCACTTTTGCAGTGTTGTCTTAATTAAATCTTGGAGTTTAGTTTTACCTCTTGTGTGCTACTATTTAGTACTTCGTATAATGTCTTGAATAAGAGATGATTATTGTTTGATTTCCTACAAGTTAAGGTACTCAATTGATGTTTTGCTTGAAATAATTAATTATGGATTTGTAAGAGATATGATAAAATTATATACAAGCATATGTTTATCCAGTATATATATTACTAGCTAATCTAATTTTCATAACTTATTTTTGTGAGACAATCACTGTCTAAATATGAAAAACTTATAGAGACAGAGAGAGTATAAAATCTAAAATGCCATTAATTATTAATTTTTATGAGTAACAAATTAAACTTGCATAAACATCACTTATTTTAGAGTAAAAATTATTTTCTTATAATTTTATATACTAATACTCCATACAATAGCGAGGATAATTGTAAATGTAGTATTTACGATGACAATAATTATTATTTTATCTCATTTGTAGTTTGTATTATCCAAACATCTCACTAGAAACAAAAACAAATAGTTGCTGTTATCTAGAGTCGTTAACAATTTGCATGGGCTTGCCTAACGCGATAGAGTATGTCGCTGTTAAATTAGTTGATGATCCATAATTATGCGATTTGGGAAAATGAATGAACATATTAAATGATACTGCAAATTGATAACCAATCTTGAGTTTCTGTAGACTGTTGTAGGAGTTATTAGCTGTTGGCCTAGGCTCATTGCAAGTTGCACATGACTAATTGTCAGTAATTGACTAATATACAAGAGGGTCTTTTGATCCCACATTTCCTTAACTAATTTGGATGGGAAAACTTAAAGGATATGTTTGGTAATTAACGAGTAGACAATGAGTAGTTGATGATTAAATTTGATTCCGTACGTTGTTGTTTCAGAAAAGAAAAAAAAAAATCGTTGAGTAATTTAACTAGCTAATTACATTCAATATCTTAATTAGGTGTTATTTATACAAAATCGTTGGATAAAAATAATCCCATGTTAGACCATCTCAAATGGTGCCTAGACTCAGTTAAGTACTACCTATGTTTGTTGAAAGATAAGAGTATATACTAAAAGTATTAATCCAACTAAAAAAATAATAAATTCAACCAAATTTAAAATAAATTACCCACCACCACCAGCACCACCTAGTTGTACATAAACCACCGACCAGGCCACCACCACCACGTACCATCACCTACCACTGAACCCAGAAACCCAACACCGACGACCCCCGAACCCTGCAACCCAAGCACCGACGAATGAACCCAACAACTACCGAACCTAGCACTGTCGAACCCACTAACCTACAAATCTAGCAACCACTGCACCAAACCACGACCCCACCTAACTCACCGATCTCAGCGATGACCACACCAAACCCACCGCAACAACCCACCAAATCACGTACCCATCAAACCCACCGATCTAAAATACGGCGAACTAAACCCACCAATCTCTTCCACGAGCCCACGACCCACCAAACCCACCGATCTAAGCCATAACCCACCGACCTCAGCTAACCAACGAAACCCGACGATCTGGAACACTGACGAACCCCAACGATCTGGAACACACCAAACACCGACGATGACGAACCACCGACAATCTTGAACTACCAACGAACCCACACTTGGAACACCGACGAACCCACCTTGAGATTGGGGTTGGAGGAGGAGAGAGAAAAAAAAATTGGGGATGAGAGTAATTTAATTAATCTTGGGGTTTAATTTAATATAATTAGATTTATAGTTTAATAAGACTGATTAAAGAAAAAAAAAATAAGGGTAAAATGGTAAACTTAACCCCAAAAACCTACCATAAAAATGAAAGAAAAATAAAAGTTGCAAGTAATGTGAACCATCCAAAAATGGCAAAAGTTACGAGTACAAGAACCAAATTAAGGTAATATTAAAATACAAAATGAGTTGCTTTTCATACCCAATGGTGATACTCAACCAACTTCTCAATTTAGTAACTCATGTGACATATAATTTTCCAATGGTGAGACTCTATTAAGTACTACCTATATATTAATTCATTATAGCCTACTATATCATTTTTTTTTTTTGTGAGAGATTGTTGTGACTAGAAATTAAATAAATAAAAAATAATTACACCCCCATTTTTAAATACTTGCTCCATATCTCCATGCGTGAAGTTTTAAGATAATTTAACGTAATAAAACATGGAGGTGGTGGGGTAGGGAGAATAATAAAAAATTATATATAAAAAAAAAACAAAAGTAGTTAAGAAAATTGGAGGAGAGAGAATATAAAATTAATAAAATATGATTTATGGTTGGTCCATTAGGTGAGAGAAATGAATTAAAAATTATAAAAACTTTCCAAATAAGGAAATAGAGCAAGTATTTAAAAACGGTCGGAAAAGGAAAATACGGAGTATTTAAAAACAGAGGGAGTATAAATTTGATAAGGGTCCACATTTTTTGTCAACCGGTCAAAAATTATGTTTGGTAGTTGGCTTTTCCGCCAAAAGCTTATAAATAGTCAAAAAATATGTTTTGTATCATTTTCTATTGACTTTTGGCTTGTTGACACACTTTATCACTAATATACAGTAACGAACATTAATAATTTTACCAAACACATTTGTAAATAGTTGGTTTAAACAACTAACTTTAAAAGTCCATCCATACAGTTAATACTTCAAGATAATAAAAAAAAACCCAAGCAAACAAGCCAATAACCAACCGTCAATTGCCAAACAACCCCTAAAAGTGTTAGAAGTTAGACAGATCAGCACAACCAATTAATTATTCATTCAATAAGCTCCTTTTTTCTTAACAAAGAATAAGCTCTTATAAGACAACATAGTGAATTTACATAGTCAATCTTCTAAGTTAATCAAATAAGCTTTTATTTTATCCTAAAAACTCTTTACTACACAATTGTTTGTTGGAAATCCAGTAGCATAATTGGCTAAAATTTTAAGATTGAATCAAAACTTGAGATATAATCTTGTCCTAGATTATTTGTTTGTTGTCGCTCTCTACAACTTACTAGAAAAGAAATATATATATAACAATTTACTTAAAGTTGATATGTAGCTTCATGATATTTTACAAGAACCCAATCTACTCATGAGTCTTGTCTTGGTCAATCACCAATAATACTCCACAAAGTAAGTAGTAGCACTAGCTAGTAGTTGCTCCGATATCTCAAAGTATTTACACATGAGATTCGTGGGAAACTTCACTTTGCTAAAATTTGAGAATTTTAAGCAAAACAGTCCGCAACAAAACATTGGTCAAGTACGTGGGTAAGACAATTCAAAGAACCAAGTCACGAAATAAGCCAAACACACACCTAACAAGTCCATGACATGAGGTCTCTCTCATAAACATATTTGAATTTGGATCTATAAATCAATTTTACAAGAACTCATTAAAGTCTTTGGAAATTCTTTCTAAAAGTAGTCAACAAACTTTATTATGTTAGGCCTCATTATGTTACATCAAACATGAAATTAATTATTCCGTCTAAAAAAAACATGAAATAATTCTTTTTTTTTTTAATATATATAAAAATATAAAAATATATATATATATGGAAATTTTGTCAGAAACCTCTTTTTAAAAACACTTTTTTGTGAAAAACCTCCTTATAAAAATATTTTGTGAGATCATACCTTAAACAAATTTTTTTTTACAAAATCATACCTTTGGACGGAAAACGGGGTCAAACCCCGTTTTCAGGCGTTGACTACCCACGTGCATCTCACGTGGTCAATGAAAACCCACCCAAGCAAATTTTCCCCCAAATTTTCCCTCGAAGTACTCTGTTCCTCTTCCTTCTTCTGTTTTTACCTCTCTTTCCAATTAAACCCAAATTATCCCCTTTCATTACTTCGATTTGTGTAAGGATCTTCAACTAAGCCAGGTAATTGTCGAAATTTGGAAATGGATTAATTTAAATTAGGGTTGATTATGAGTTATGGTTAATTCGAAAAACTAGGGTTCTTAAATTGAATCGTTCCTTAATTTTTTTTTTCTTTTTTTTTTTTGCAGCATGATTGAGGGGGGTCAGAAGTGTCGTTCTGGTACTTCTGTTGGTGTTAGGATGCCATGGAGTCATGAGTACCCGGAAGGAAGTTCAAGGACTGTAAATTTTACAATTTCGAGAGGATGTAATCATGGTTTAGAGGTGTAACTTGGTTGAGGGAGCTAGGGAGTAGAGGCGGAGGACTTAAGGCTTCTTTTTTGTTTTTGTGGTGTTTAGTTGTTACTCATTAAATCATTGAAGTTGTTGGTTGTCGGCATCTTGGTGTCTGTGGTGATGGTGAATTCGTGATTGACAGTTGCAAAGGTGGTGCTTGATATGGAGGGGGTGCTACTGGGAATTAAATACAAACAAACACACACAAAAGCAACGGCGGTTTAGCCTATGTACAAGTGATATTCGATCATTCGTATTTCAGTTCATCTTCGATTTTGATTTATTTAAAATTAACAAAAAAGTTGATGCTAAATCTAAAATAACAGTCTGGATTTTCCTGATTTTTTGCCAACCCTACTGACTGCTAAATAAGTACTTCAAAACTCTCATATATCTCTAACCATAGAGACCAACTGCCTTTAGTGGGTATAGAGGTTGCAATTACTTTCAGTGGGTAGATGAGGACATACTCGATTGGCAAAGGGATGTTACTAATAATCTTGTGGCTGAGAAGCATAGATTAACCACTGATGTGAGGTTGCAGCAGACAAAGATGGCTTGTTGTACTCATGAGAATAACATACTCATGGAACAAATCAATAGAATGGAGAAGAAGTACCAGGAAAACAAAGCTAAAAGTGACCAGTTAGGGGTAGTTTTTGGAGCATGTGTTGTGGTTTCTGTTGTTGTTAGTATTGTTGTTAAGTTGTTTATTTAGGTTGTTGTTTGGGCATCAATATATGCAAATTTAGGGAATTAATGCCATATATTTGGTTGTAATGTGTACTGGTATGACCTGCTTATGGGTTTATTAAATGAAATGCTATGCAATTATCATTTATAATGCAATATCTATCAAAATAGCAATAATATTTGCGATAATGCATGTTATAAATACGATCCAAAATAAGAGTAGTGTTTACAAAAGTGACATTGCAATTATCACACAGAAATTTCCTTAATGTCAAACTATTAAGGAATTAATTTCCCAAAAAAAAGCATGACAAAGAATGTCAAAATATTAAACCCTTGTTTTTTAAGATTGCTTGACAAAGTTACAGGATGCTTGTGAAGATTGCACGTTCTGACTGCTTGTAATCAAACTAGTCATTGATTTAGTTTTTTTTTTTACTTATTTGCTCCTCTGCTGGTTGTTGGATGTGAAGTTGAAGTCTTTTTTGCTGCTGCTCTTTTTGAAGCTGTTGTTGTGCTTGTTGCTGCTACCTTTGCTGCAGTTGCTGCCCTGGTAGAAGTAGTTGCTTTAGGTGCTGGTGGAGGTGCCTTTGCCTTTTTTGCAGTGGTGTTGGATGCAGTTGCTGATGCCCTAGTAGTTGATAGGGAATGACTGAGTTGAGTGGAATTTGCAGCAACCTGTTGTGACTGAGTAGTGGCATCACCTGACCTAGGTCTCCCACCCTTGTTGATTGGTTGTGGTTGTGTCACATTTTGGCACTTTGTTTTGTAGTGACCAAGACCACCACAATTAGAGTACTTGTTACTTCTCTTTGCTCTTTTCACCAACTGCTTCTCCTTATCTTCCCCGGCTTCTTTCACTCTTCTCTTTTTACTAGGCCTTCCAGGCATTATCCTATAAGGAGGGGGTAAAGGTTAGGGTAGAGGTTGCACATCCCACTGCTTGTACCCAGGCATTGCTCTGAATATGGGAGCATAAGTTGCAGCATAGGTGCTGACATGGTATGCAGGATGCACAAACTCCTCATGTGGCAACCTTCTCTTCACAATACAGGCAAGTGCATGCCAACATGGAATTCCCAACAAACTCCACCGAAAACACCCACACACCTTACTTTGCAAATTGACTACATAAGTATCATTTTCATCATCTACCTCAAATTCATATAAATCTGCCTGATTAACTCTCATATTAGACACCTTTAACAATCCATTTTCTATCATCTTATCTACAGATGGCATGATCTGGCCAGTAAAATTCTTCAAACCCTCTCTTTTTGCACAACATCTCTTCATGACATATCTCCTTATCCACTCCATAAGGGATATGATGGGTTTTGTTCTTGCCTCTCTCAAAACATTATTAAAGGATTCACAACAATTATTTTAAATCATACCAGACTGCTCACCACATAGTGGTGAATGCATGTCTTGACCAACTGCTCACTGGTATTGACTCTAAATATTTGTGTGCATCAATGTTTATGAGTTTGATAGCTTCCATTTGTTGCTGAAAATGATGCTGTGACATGAATGATATTAAATAACAGTGAGATAAATCATATTACACTTTAGTAATGTATGTTATGCTTGTACTCAAGAACTTACCTTAGTAGAGGCTCTTGCAGCCTTCCAAAAGTGTTCTCTATATATCTCCCCTGGGAATTTGGTTTTGAAGTTAGACCATATGTGTCTACAACAAAACCTTATATCTACATTTGGCACCACACTACTAAAAGCATCCAGCAACCCCTACATGTAAAATAAGACACATAGTTACAATTTAGGTTATTCTTATGAAAATAATTAAGGACAAAATTAAAAGGAATCAAACCTACCTTCTGTCTATCTGACATGTAGGTGAGGTTTTCATTCTCATGAACCCGTGTAATTGAATCAGCCACTGTTGCTATGTCTTGCACCAAGAGTTCCAAAAACCATTTCCAAGTTTCAGCATTTTCAGTCTCAACTACTGCCCAAGCGACTGGAAAAATGTTGTTATTTCCGTCTTTTCCAACTGCTGTTAATAAGATACCAGGAAAAGGACCTCTCAGATATGCCCCATCAACTCCCAAAATTGGCCTACACCCAACAATGAACCCTTCCTTACAAGGTTGTAGACACACATACATCATTTGGAACAATGGTGGGGGGTTCTCTATTCCTGTGACCTTAACAATAGTTGTGCTTCTAGGGTTGTATTTTTTAATAGCAGCTGCATAATCCCACACTTTTTTATACTCCTATGAAGCATCTCCAAACAACATTTTCAGTGCTATTTCCTTAGCATTATAGGCCTTATGATATTTTATCTCAGATTGTACTTCTCTGGTAGCCCTACTAATGAATGCTTTCATGCTCATACATGGGTCATCTCTCCAGTCCTCAAGGTATCTCTCTACTATGTACTTTGAGGAACTTGGGATTAACATGTTGATGACCACAAATGTGTTCTCCTCTAAAACTTTTAATTTGAAAAGTTTCCTCTCCTTTCAGTTTCTTGCAATGGACCTTAAATCTACACTTCCTCTTCTGATTACAGACACACTTGTATAGATTTCTACCTTTCTACCATGGACATGCACATCTCTTCGCACAGTATGCAGACACTCTCACATTTGAGTTATGTAGGTAGTAGTAATCATACCCATTTTCAATAGCATGATTTCTCAAAGCTTTTCTGAATACTAAATTGGATGGGAATTTCAGTCCAAATCTAAGTTCAATTTTTTTTTCTTAAAGTCTACTTCTGGGTTGAATATGGGGTACTCAGGTCTTCCCTCATGATCATATCCTAATTGAGGTTCATCCTCACAGTCACTATCATTTAAATCATGATTACGTTGCAACTGATCTCCCTCCTCCTCCACATTATCCTCTTCTTCATCCTCTCTATGGTATTCAACCACAATCAGTTTAGAACCACCTAAGCTCTCAATCACTCTTTCAGTTATACCAACACCAATATTTTCAGAAAACAGATCATCATCACCTATATCTTCAAAATCATCATCATTCAATACAACATCACTGTCATCATTCTCATCATTGTGACTAGGAAGAACCTCACCTCTCTCAGGTATGATCTCTAATCCCCCCCCTACTTTCACCCTCTTTGACCTCAGTCAAAGATTTCAGCTTGGGTTTTGTTTTGGAGAAAGTTGGGAGTTTTTCTGATCTAAGTGGATTTAGATCTGAATTGGATAAGGTACTGTTTTGAGGCAAAATAGGGGAGGTATAAGGGAAAGTAGATGTAGGGTTTGCAAGGGAATATTTTATTATTAGGGGCCCCACACTTTTTGAACTTGTCTCAACCAACTCACTACTTAACTCACCCCCCATTGCTGATTCCTCACCCCTTTTTGACTCACACAACACTGCTGAATTACTCCTTTGTGACTCCTCTGTGCTACAAGTCTCAGCAGCATAGTCTTTCTTAGGTTGCACCAAGTATAATATGTACCAACCATCACTTTATTTTGCTTCTAAGAACTCTGGTATGTCAGCATCAGTCAGTATTTGTTTTCTACCACTATATAAACTACACCCATGCTTCTTATACCAAATTTGCCCAACCTCAGCATACCCTAGCTCCCCAGTTATCCAGTTGTAGACACCTAAAAAGTCTCCCCAAAACCAAACCCGATGATGAATAACCTTTCACTGCCACTATTGGTCGGGTTCAGTATTTAATCCCGAGAGTGCTTAAAAAATCGTATTTGATTAAATTCAATTTTTGATTACTCCATGGATTAGTCTTGATGTTTGGTCAAAGCATAGTTTTAATTTCAGCCGAAACTTATTATTTAATTTTAGCCCAAACCTTTTTTTTTAATTTTACTGTTTTATTATTTATTTTGGCCCAAACTTTTTATTTATTTTAGCCCAAATAATAATAAAATCAGAAAATGGTCCGAAATTATCAATCGGCACTTAAAATGCTGAACGAAATTAGGGTTAAAAATGAATTTAGACAGAAAAGCGGACTGAAAATTCCCGCGTCACGGCAACAGTCCACCGTGTCACGGGAAACTTTCCCGTCTGACGGTGGGGTTCCCCGTGACACGGGAAACCTGCTGTGACACGGGAATTTCCGTGTCCTTTCCGCGTAAACCCTTAACGCGTTTTCTCCCTCGTTCACTAATTATTTCCCGCGTCACACAAAATGTGCACCGTGTTATGGGAATGTTTCCCGTCTGACGGTGGGATTTCCCGTGTCACGGTACACTTTTCCGTGTCGAGGGATACTTTTTAGGGTTTTTATCATTTTAGGGTTCCGTGTGTTCCCTCAGCACATTTTTTTCTATAAATACCCCCTCATTTCTGATGTACGGGGCATCAATTAATTCTCTATTTTTTCTCTCTCTTCTATGCTCTAGCCTAAACACTAGCCTACCCTTCTTCTTCCAAAATTCCTTCTTCAAGCACTCCCAAGAGTCCGTACTTTACTCGTGGTTCTGTCCTTAAGCCAAGGCGTGAAAGGTAGAACTGTTTGAGGGTTTGGCCCCAAATCAACTCTACTTTATTTAATTTAATTTAATTATTGTTTTATTATCATTTCCTTGAAGTTACTAATTCGTTTATTATTTTGTAGTTGCAAACAAACAGAATCAAAGTAAGAATTATGTTCCTTTTATTTCTATTATTTTTCTAACGATTTTATATTGTTGTTATTATTGTTGAATTGCTTCCAATATTAATGTTTATTCTATTATTATTTTTGATCACCATATTGCATGTTTAAAGGGAATATGTAATTGAAAATCACGCCTAATAAGATAATTTGGACAACCGGTTTAGGTTCCTTTTTAATCTTGTTATTAAATCAAGTGATCACTAATATTTTAGAATTATGTGTTGCATTAATATTAAACCAATTTAGCCTAATAATAGTTTGGAGCAAATTGAATATTTTGTTTGTATGCCTTTGACATCGCAGGAATCACTTTTCACTATAAGAATCGAGTAGAGACCAATACGGGCAAATGTGACTCCATGACTCACTTCGTACCATCATCCCCGATCCTCCTTTCGTGGTTCCGAACTATATGGAGTTAGTAATCTCATGGATTATGAATGGGGTGTAACCTTCACGGGTCAATCGTTGTTACCTATCGTTGTCCCTTATTCGTGGTTGCCTTTTATGATCCGTGAACGGTTTACAAGTTCCTTAAAAACTTGTTGGCGGCTCCCTACTTTCCTTGTCTCTAATCGTATATGTCAATTCCCACTTCCTAAGAGTGCCAAGCATATTCACCACATGCTTTTAACGTAGGCGCACTTCGAACGACGCCTACCCAGTCAACAAATTTGAAATAAGAGACTTACATCCACATTTGGATGAAAGACACTCTATGATAATTGCTATTCCCCTTCTCATATGTTGTTTTCTGATTCTTAGTTACAAAATCACCACCGTACATCAACCTAATATTTATTGGATCCATGAATACCACTAAATTGAACCTGATGCAATAACATAGACTAATTTCAATGTCCTATACATACAAAAATCACCACTTTCCAAAAATAATTATAAAAAACCCACAAACTTTCCAGAAATAATAATAATAAGAAAAAAAAAAAAAAAAAAAAACAAAAACATCACTAATTTCAATATAGCATCACTAATTCCCAAACATAATTATAAAATCATCCAACATTAGTTTATGCAATCACCACTTTATCTCACTGTTATTTTAAACATGCATGTCCATTTCATTTTCCAACATTCATTCTACTATAATTAATTTGTTAATTAGCCAATTTCACTTAACCCTAACATTATAAAAATCAGAAATTTTACCTGTCTTTTTGGATGATTATGTAACTAGTCCCCCACCTTGCTTCCTTATTGTAGCTGCTTTCATTTTCATACCCAAGGCAAAGAAATGCAAGGACGAATTCAATTAGCACACTAAAATTGGTAGTTATTAATAACAAATGTAAGAAAGAGAGAAATTTCATACTTACTCTTTTGGGAATGATGGGAATTCAATTTCAACCTGCCATGGTAGAGTCGCAATAGAGAAGAGTAATTGCAAGGGGATAATTGGGTTTAATTGGAAAGAGAGGGAAGAACAGTGAACAGAATAATTCGAGGGAAAAATTTGGGGGAAAATAAGCTTTGGTGGGTTTTCGTCGACCACGTGAGATACACGTGGTGGTTAGTCAACGCCTGAAAACGGGGTTTGACCCCGTTTTCCATCCAAAGGTATGATTTTGTAAAAAAAAAGAAAATTTGATTAAGGTATGATCTCACAAAAAAAAAATTATAAGGAGGTTTTTCACAAAAAGTGCTTTTAAAAGGAGGTAAACAAGTTTTAATTGGGACTTTTATTCAACCCCTATATGTTTAAAGTATAGAGTGTTATAATACTATAATTGCATTATTGGTTGATCAATACATCATCACTAGTTTTTTATGGTCAACTTTATTAATTTGTTAATAAGGAGGGAAACTTTCTTGCAATTACACCGCAATGTCAAGTACCATTAACAAAAGAGTAAAGTTTACCAACCGCAACTTCATGCATTATAAACTGCTTAGTTTCTCCTTGCATATAACGTACTATATATACCCTTATAATCATATAGTTTGGCCAAGCTACTCAACCTAACACTTTCAAATCACAAACAAAAATATATTTTTTTTTCTTTCACTACCACCACATAAACCAATCACTAATGGAGACGCCAACTTTGGCCGCCTACGCGGTTGCGTGGCTAGTGGCTATAGCCTTAGTACTCCTTACAAACCACCTTCGCCGTAGTAAACTCAATCTACCACCAGGCCCAAAACCATGGCCCATTATCGGAAACTTTAACCTTATTGGGTCACTCCCTCACCGTTCCCTACATGAGCTCTCTAAGAAATATGGGCCTTTAATGATGCTTAAATTTGGGTCAGTCCCACTGTTAGTGGGCTCATCAGTTGATATGGCAAAATTATTTCTTAAGACTCATGATGTAATTTTTGCTGGGAGGCCCAAAACCTCAGCAGGAAAGTTAACCACTTATAACTACTCCGATATAACATGGTCTCAATACGGTCCATACTGGCGCCAAGCGCGAAAGATGTGCTTGATGGAGCTCTTTAGTGTTAAGAGGCTCGAATCGTACGAGTACATACGTGTAGAAGAGCTCAATTCCGTGTTAAAAGGTATATTTAACACAAATGGTGAGCCCATTGTGTTAAAAGATCACCTTTCAACTTTGAGCTTAAACGTGATTAGTAGGATGGTGTTAGGTAAAAGGTACCTAGACAAAAATGAAGAGAAACCGATCATTACACCGGACGAATTCAAGTTGATGCTTGATGAGTTGTTCTTACTAAATGGGGTGTTTAATCTTGGTGATTGGATCCCTTGTTTGAAGTATGTTGATGTACAAGGTTATGTGAAAAGAATGAAGGTTTTGGCTAAAAAATTTGATCGATTTATGGAGCATGTGTTAGATGAACATAATGCTAGAAGAGAAAAGGAGAAGGAAAATTGGGTGGCTAAAGATATGGTGGATGTTTTGTTACAACTTGCTGATGATCCAAATAATGAAGTCAAACTTGAAAGAATTGGAGTCAAGGCATTTAGTCAGGTATGTCCTAGTCTAACTTTTATGTTTTCCAATTATTTTAAGACTAGACTTTGAAATTAAATAAATAAATAACACTATCGCTTTTTTATAGTCCACATAATATTTTTTTTCCATCTTTTTGACGGGCTCTTAATTTTCTTGACTAATCCCTTAAGATAAGAACGATTAATCTCCTTTTGTAAGATTCCTTTTTTTTTTTTTCACAACATTAAGGACGTGTTCGGCAAAATATAGCGGTAAAGGTAGCTGTTAGCTGTGATGGTGGCTGTTAGTTGTACGTGTAGCTGTTAGTTGTGAATCCTTGTGATGGTGGCTGTTAGTCAAACCACTAAAAGCTACCTAAGCTAAAAGCTAGTGCCGAACACACCCTAAATTACAAAAGGCAAAATGTTCCAAAAATTAACTAGCTACTCCATATTATAAAATTGACAACTATCTAAGTCAACTATATATATGATTTCAGGATTTAATTGCTGGAGGCACAGAGAGCTCAACGGTAACAGTAGAGTGGGCAATATCAGAACTTGTACGAAAGCCAGACGCATTAGCCAAAGCAACAGAAGAGCTTGATCGCGTAGTTGGAAGAGAGAGATGGGTTGAAGAGAAAGACATACCAAACTTACCCTACATTCGCAATATAGTAAAAGAAACAATGCGATTGCACCCAGTTGCACCTATGCTCGTACCACGAATGTCAAGGGAACCAGTTCAAATTGACGGGTACGATATACCCGTAGGCTCTCTAGTACTTGTGAATACTTTCACTATACAAAGAGACCCTAAAGTGTATGAAAGGCCAGAAGAGTTTTGTCCCGAAAGATTTATTGGAAAGAACATAGAAGTTAAAGGCCACGATTTCGAGTTATTGCCTTTCGGGTCAGGGCGAAGGATGTGTCCAGGGTATAGTCTTGGCCTTAAAATCATTGAGGCAAGTTTGGCTAATATTCTTCAGGGATTTACATGGAAATTACCGGATAACATAAAACCCGAAGATTTGGACATGGATGAGATTTTCGGTCTCTCAAACCCTAAGAAAATTCCTCTTGTTGCTTGTGCTGAACCTCGACTTCCTCTTCATATGTATCAATATTAAGGTCATATGTATACCTATGTTGTGTGCTTATTATCGTCTTAATTAAACCTAGGTATTTTCCTTTCCTTAATGTAAGTTATAATACTTAGTCATAACGATTGGCAATAATATAATCAGCTCAATTTCTTAGCTAAATAAGAAATATATGAATTGTTTACAAGATTGTGAATTAGATATTTCATAAACGTTGATTTTTTAGTGGAATGATTGCATAATCAATTGTCAATGGTGTTTCGGGGTTTTTTGATGTGTCCTGCGGGAGAGTTACAATTCCAAGAATGCCCTTCGACGCCTGTGCCTGCAAAATCACGAAGACTCCTGGGGGTAGGAGCTCCGCCTCCGACGATCAAGTTAGTAAAGATACGGGAGGTAGAATGCACGTATTGTTGAAGTTACTTCTCGCGTAATGGGAGAATTCCGCAATTAATATTGCTCGGGGTAGGTGTTTGTCTTTTTGAGGAGTATTCAATGTAAGAAATAAATGTTCAGATGCCCATTAATGAGGGTCCTTCCACTATTTATAGTGGGGAAGGGATGGTTCCCCTTTTAGGGTTTAGAGGACACGTGTCAGCAGAGGATTGGAACCCTGCTGACCAACGGCTGGGTGCCACGCGTCACTAGGCCATTGGGCCACGTGTTTAGGGTATTTTTACCCCAAACATTTGCCCCTCACTGGTGCTGACGTGGCAGGGTGCTACGTGGCGCCGGTGAATTTTTTTTTTTTTTTTTTTTTTTACTCTTCAGATTCTTTTTTGAAGGATGGAAAAGCAGAAGGCGAAGAGTCACGACTCTTCACCCTCCGGGACAAATCCTATAAGCAGGAGAAGATGCCCCCCGAGCTCTCATTTACAAACTTTGCAAAATTTCTGAAAATTTGAGAGCAGCCGGCAATTTAAGAGTTGAGAGCATTCGGAGTTGAAATTTGTTGAGAGCAACTGATCTACAGACCGTCTGGGTCGTTGCAAGCTAGCTAAAGGTTTTCGCGAGGGTAATCAGAGAAACCCAGCCGGATTTTGAACCGCCTGCGTCTTCGCAAGCATCCCAAAGAATTTCCAGATTTTCTTCTAGGTACCGTCTCTATTCTTTCTAGCTTTTTCATATATTTCCGTTTGAGTCTTTTACTCGCACTTTTATTCATTGGTCCCATAAGTAGATGGACCCCTTATACCCATACCCGGAACCTAGCTGTGAACTCAGCCGGTTTATTAGTACGGCTGAGTCTAGAACTGGGTCTGCCGCCTCTGTTCTTTGGGACAACCCTTTTTCAACACCCATATCGACCGACTTTGTGTCTGTGCAGGACACAATGGCCAGAATCCGGTCTACTGCCAGAGATCCCAACTACAGAAGTGGGAGCTCAAATGAGCAGCCGCCTGAGGTCCAAGCTTCAGGCGGAGAAGTAGAGCAAGGAGAGGTAGAGCAGGGAGGCTCACCCGGGGGCACTCCTAGCACCCCGGGTGATAGCATTTTAAATGAGGAGACTGCTCCCCTCAATGAGACCAGAGAGCAGGCAGGCTCTGATAAGGAGGTCTCCAACTCCCCAGCCGGCTCTGATGCCGGTCGCGTTCAAAGTAGCAGTAGCAGCTACTTAACCGAATCCGAGGATAGCGAGGAGGTGGAGAGGCCTTCTTGGGATAATAGGAACGATCCTCTCATGATCGCCGTCTCCTCTAAGGACCGCGACCTCATGCGAGCTGCGCTGCCAGATTTTATCAAACGGCGGCCGCTGGGGGGTGACTACACAATAAAAATCCCATCTGCTCTGGGAACAATATGGTGGGAGGATGAACAACCAAACGCGAACGCTTGGTTCGGGTGCTACGAGGCGGCCTTCTTGGCCGGAGTCCGCTTCCCTCTCCACGACACAATAAAAGCCATACTTAGGGGGTATGGCCTAGGTCTCTGGCAATTAACCCCCAACTCATGGGTAAATATTTTAGGGTATATCGCCGCCTGCGAGATGCAGGGCCTCAACCCCGGCTGGGAGGCGTTTGCCCACATGCATTACTTGAGTAGGAGCCCAGGCGGCTGGAGAGCCTGATATACCTTGACCACCCAGCCCAAATACCTTATGACCTTGGACAAGCCATCCAAATGGTCGGACTGGAAGCACCGGTTCTACTTGGTTAAGGCCCCAACTACGGCAGAGAACAGAGAATTCCGGATCTACAACCGGAAACCAGAACTCTTGGGAACCAAGTGCCGCCTGCCCCCTGTCCCGGAGGATGATAGAGAGACCATCCTTGACTCCGGGTTTTTTGAATTAGTTCCTGACACCCTCTCATCCGGAGAGATAATAAGGGTACCTAGAAACTGGGTGCCCAAACATGAATTTTTTAGGGACGAATGCTTCTTGTCCGCTTGTGGTCTAAGCAGCATGTTTAAAAAACGTATGTATTCGGAACTCAGCCGGTTTCTTTCGAATCGGATGCTTTTATTTCCTTGTTTATTATTCTAACCGAGTGCCTGCCTTTGCAGAAGAAGCCAAGAAAATGTTCTCCAGCGAGATGACACCGGCTAGGAAGGCTTCCGACATCTGGAAAGCCAATCTCGAGAAAAAACTTGCTGCCCAGGCGGCGAGGAAGGTATAACCGCCTGGTCCTTCTTATTGACTTCAATTTCTCATTATTCCATAACTTATATTTTCTCGTTTTCAGGACGGGAAGCAAATGCCCCGGTCCCTTCAAAAACAGGTCAGGCCACCGCCGACCCAACAAGAATCTGCATCCAAGGTGCAGAAGACAGCCGACCGGCCAACTACCGGCGGCGAATCAATAAAGGTCCCAGGCGGGCCTGGAGCTGCGGATGTGCTTTCTGCCATCCCATTGAGGACCGCAACCGGTCCATCTGAAGGCCGTTCGGGCCACCAAGGTAACTTCAACCTTACACTGCTTGACTTGCCCATGCGGGTCAAGTCTTATTCACAGCCTCGATCTCAGCCGGGGGATTCTCCAATCAGCCGGCAATCTATAGGCAGAGCATATGCGACTTTCTCACCGTCTGTTTCTAGTGCAGATAATTCTCCCCGCTGGCCGGACGGGGCACAATACGCCCGGGCCATGCTGAGAGCCGTCCCCAGGGACGAGAAGGAGGCGATCCCTGGGATCAACTCCTTTAATGCCGACCGGGTGCTAGTCGACCTGGCCGACGTATGCTCCAACAACCATTCGGTAATTATCTTGACATGCATTTGTTGAATATGCAGTATTAACCGGCTGTATTTTTGCAGGCTATGCTGCGCGTAGAGGGGCTCAAACGAGCTTATACCCGCAAGTCTGAAGAGGTAAGGAGAAGCAAACGGGCTGTTGATGACGCCCATAGTGTTGCTGAATACTCTTTGTACATGCATGGCTTAGAAACTAAATCTATACGCATGGAACAGGCGGAGAAGACCAAGGCCCTCCAACAGCAGATTGATCAACTGAAAAACCAAGTTGACCAACTGCAGGCGTCCCTGGATGACGCCAATGATAAGTTGGAGAAACAGAAAGAGCCCCTCCAACGGCTGAGCAAGGCGGAGACTGAAAATGGCCGCCTTGCCAAAGAGAATGAGCGCCTGATTAAAGAGGCGGCTGTTGCCAATAAGAACTTCAAGGCCACCTTGGAGGCGGAGCAGGACAGGCTCATTGAGGAGAATGAGCATGATTGTGCAAACCGGATGCGACGGGCATTTTCCCTCATCCACCCGGAGGCGGACTTCACCGCCTGGGAACTCGCCTTCAAATATTCTGATCTTGCCATTCTGGCCGAAGAGGCGAATGAGCCGGGGCCCGGACCCTATGATACTTGGGTTAGGGAGGAGATTGCGCGAAGGCAGGCGGAGGCTGCTGAAGAGGAAGAAGTTCCTGAAGCCGACGCAGCCGCTCACCCCGATCCTACCCTGAACCAACCGGAAGAGGACCGGTTCACTGTTCGCCTCGAGTAGCAACCACCTCCCGGCCTGCGCGCCTTGCATTATCTTGTAATAGCGCCGGATGAGACGAGCTACTCGGCTGTAACAATGTTTTATTCTGAATATTAACATTTTCACTGGCTGCGCCGGTTTGTACATTTTCATTTTGAATATTAACATTTTCACCGGCTGAGCCGGCTTTTGAATGCACTCTGTTTTTCACACTTGGCTTTTGAAGGCTTTTTATGTTTCTGCACTTCAATACTAGAATTCTTGTTATTTTATTTTTTTTTGCATATTTCTGCGAGGATAACCAAAAGAACCCCGCCGGTAACACTACCGCTTGGGTCTTCGCAAACAGCAAAGAAATTTGCAAGGGTTGCCAAGAGGACCCCACCGGTAACACTGCCGTCTGGGTCTTCGCAAACTAGGCGAAGAAATTTGCAAGGGTTGCCAAGAAGACCCCACCGGTAACACTGCCGTCAGGGTCTTCGCAAACTAGGCGATGAAATTTGCAAGGGTTGCCAAGAAGACCCCACCGGTAACACTGCCGTCTGGGTCTTCGCAAACTAGGCGAAGAAATTTGCATGGGTTGCCAAGAGGACCCCACCGGTAACACTGCCGTCTGGGTCTTCGCAAACTAGGCGAAGAAATTCCGACCCAAAACCAAACCGGATGGCGTCTGGGTAATTGCCCCTGGATAGCGGTCTGGGTCTTTGCAAGCCAGGCTCCTATCCATATGATATAGCACGAATATATACACTAAGTGCCAACATTAGATTCGGGAGCCAGTCGGTTTATACTGAATTACCGGTCGGGACTTCGCAAAAGAATCACGCCAGATTAGGATGTCCATTCACCGGTTGGACTTTTGCAAGCATACCCCTGAATGAATTATGGCCTAGACCAAATGTTTAGGCCTGCTCTTAGAGAGTCAGGCGGCGGTATTGAGTACCGGCTGAATTTTGGAAACAGCCTTTAGTGGTACTTCCAAAAAGTGGGCCGGCTGCAAGTTTGGGGGTGCTAGCCTGCCCTTTTTTGGTGCGAGGGATCGTCAGGCGGATTTGTCCGCCTGTGTGATCGCTTAGAACAATTTACCACCCAAATGGGAGATGTTCTCTTCTATGAATTCACCCGTATGGGTGTCACCGGATGCAAAAATTAGTTACTGGTGCCGCTTGTGGTAGGCACAAGACATGGCGGCTGTATACAAAATTGAATATAATTCTCATCATTTGAAAATTTACAAAATATGTACAATACTTAGA